TGCTAGATTACACTCGTTACTAATTAACGATATATAAAATAACAAAATATAAAATGGAACAACAGAAAATATAACAACATCAATTTGTTATTCGTAATTTCGTACCATCGGTGTTGTTATATAGCTCGTGAATCTTCGGATTATCATGTATATTGTACTTCATAGTTATGTCGCATGCTGCAATAATAGAAAATAATATTCGTCTAAATGTAATCTACAGTTAACTTTGTTAGTTTCGTCGTGAGATTATACTCCGTTCTCGAGAGCGAACCTTTTTACTCTTTCCTCGTCTTTTAATTCTTCTGTAGAAGCCGTAAATCTTATTTATCGTGTATATATACAGTATGTAAGAAGGAGCTCGAACGATAAATTCTATCGCGAAGAATTAGCACGAGAGGTAGATTCTATAATTAAAATAATCTGTAATTTTAATTACAACAAAGGACCCAGTTGTAACACATGACGACGCTTGCAAAAGTGTTTCGATTAGACACTTATCAGGGGGAATTTTTTTACGAATACAAAACTTTTCGGACAAATTGAAAGAAATAAAATCGAATAAGTTTAAAAAAAAAAATGGAACATTTTATACGTTAAATGTTGCAACAAATACCGTTCAAGGTGTTCAAGGTACTTCATATACTTTTACACCTTGAAATTTCTAGTTGACTAATGTCGAAGTATTTTATAGGAATTATTTTCAGAAAAATATGAAGAATCGTTCTCTTATAATAAAAAAAAAATCCTCGGTGCTAGTTAAAGTTTCTAGAAACGTTTGAAATATTTCCGCGAGCTCCTACGTGCTACAAGATAAATTTTCGAGAAAGAAACGGATCTTTTGTAATCACCTGGTGACTGGAAAGAGTAGCTTAGTTTCGTTGGTCCGGTTGAAAATCGAGGCGACAAGCAAGAGGACGGAGATTATCTCACAAATATTTGAGAGCAATTAGATGTTTGCTCGTCTGTTACCGTGTTTACATTGTTCACCGTATCTAGACTGCGGAGAGATGTATTTAAAGCCGAAACTGCTCCAAATTCTCCAACTTTTCTCCGTGATTTTTTTCTTGAAAATCATTCGCAATTGCGACATATTTGTAATTAATTAACTGATCAATTTCTATATGTATAATATGAATCTACATGCGAACGTGAGAGATCAAATCCCTTCGTTATTTCAATTAGTTCAATGGAAAAAAATATCACTGTACTTTGTTTGAAGATTCAAGTGAATTCTAAATTGCCAAATTTCAAGACAATTCCTTCGTGGTACTTTAAAGCTTTTCCACAGGAAACTCGACGTATAAATTATTTCATATGGAATCGAAATTTCATCACTGTGAAGAGATTTTGTTCAGTTCAGACAACTCTACGCGCCTAGTAAGAAACGTATTATTGTAGTAATTTTCGAAATTGAATTTATCATGTTATCACGTTCATTTATTCAAAAAATTTACCATTTTTTTAGTATCTATGTATTAATATTTAGTGTTTGTGGTGTGAGTATCGATTATTTATATCCTGCACTAAATATCGGACGCCAAATATTAAATTTTATTGACGGACAAATCAATAAAATTTTATATTATATCCGACAGGTAACATCGGATTTCAAAATTAATATAATAATACGGAGGCTAGGACGTTCGATCTCGAATCAATAGTGTTTGTGCCGCGAAATATACATCCTTCTACAACAACATGTAAATACCGTGTACATATAGAATTGACGGTTACTCGAAATTTATTTATTCCTCGTTACTTCTTGATAATTGTTTCTGTACAATAAATTGATATTTCTTCATTGAATGTATCAAGAAAAGTTGGAGCGCGCAGAGAAGAGAGAGCAGCCCGCACGTCTCTAAATTCTGTACTGCAAACTTGTTACTACCTTTTTATAATATTTATTATAATTATTATTTACTACAATGTTATAACATTAATGTAATATTATATAGCAGTAACATAGTAATATTATATAATATATAGTATCGATATCGATTGTTATAAAATGTTATAACCTTATGAAGAAAAAAAAAAATTATTTTGAAAAAAAAAACTTACACCAGACTTGTTATATCTATTCTAACAATAAGTCCATGCTCCTAGAAAGGATGAATTATTAATTTTTAACTTGTGATTTGTAAATTAATTTACGATAAAGAAAGACCGTGCAATTTGTCAATTTATTGGCCGAATCTCTCTGAATACTCGTAAAGTATTATCAGCAATAACAACGGCGATGTCGCACATGCGACATAACGTCATTGGATGTTATGGACGATTTGGAAACGACTTTGTACGATCCCGTTATCAATGCCTTTTCTTTCGTACATCGAAATTCATATTTCGTACCTGACATCGCGAATTGATCGCGATATCTCGCGCTGTTGCTTCCCCGCACGTATAGTGTAATTCGTTAAATTCAGATTTCATCTTTCGCTTGAGACTTGAATAAATGGAATTTCACGAATGGAATGCTCAAAAAGAAAAAAAAAGAAAAAAAAAATGGAGCAAGATCGAGCGTTAAAATTTCTACCGTACTATCTTGAATCGAGATAGAATGTTTGAAACCCGAGGTTTGTCCAACACAGCCAGTAACGTATCTTAACCAGATTAAGAAAAAAAAAAGGAAAAGAATGTATTCCATGCGTTTTAATACCTGGATTCGGTTGACTCTGGTACGAAGTCTTTTTCATCCATTCGTAGGGGCTTTTGACTGGCGCCGGCCTCGTTGTTACCGTTGTCGTGTTGTTGTTGTCGCTGTTGCCGCTGTTGGAACTGTCGTTCGACGACATGTTGGTGTTATTCAGCTTGCCGGTTTCGTTTGTCGGCGAGATAGTGGCACCGGTGGACGGTGTGGTCGAAGAATCCTCGCCAACTTCGCTCCTGGCCCCATTGGTGATGTTGGTATTCGAAGGGCTCGGCTCGGCGGGATTGACCAACCGTGACCTTGAGCTATTGTTCCACATCGTGGTGGAGGCTGCAGGTTGTGTCATTGAGTGCTGCGGACTCTGGTGATACTGGTGCAAATGGGCGGCGTACGATTGGTTTTGCGACTGCGGCCAACCAGGTACAGCTTCCACCGAGTTCAAATACTGCTGTGGACAGATGGCCTGGTGGGGATGCAAGTACGGATAGTTGTACCAATATTGCGCATTGTGAGCACTGTTGACAGTGCTCGGCTGCTGTTGCTCCTGTTCAGCCTGGCTTTGTTCCGGTACTTGCTGTACCAACGCATCTTCGTTCTGCTGTTGTCGTTGCATCACAAGCGGACTGTAGTAAGACACTGTGCCGACGCTACTCGCTTCCACTGTTTCCGTACTTTGTTTCGCTGGGTTGTTCGTCATATTTCCACGCTTACGTTGGATCCTGCTGTTGTTGACGAATGTAACGAACGATACTGCGGGTATTTGAAAATCCTGCCAACGACGACAACGAGTCGATGAAAAACGATGGTCCTTAGCGGCGAATTATGAGCTCTTCTTCTACGAGTAAGAATTGCTTCATCACCAGAGAAGAATCCAGAATTTGAAGCTGAAAAACCAAGAATCACCATTCGCGTCACTATTAGCATCTGTAGAACCAATAATCGTCACCGTAATGTTAACACACGGACGCGTTTAACCACACATGTTCGATCATCTCGGTATTTCTTTTTTTTTCTTCTTCTTCTTCTTCTTCTTTTCTTTAATCACGTAAATCGCCGAGACGCTGGTGCTTCAGCTCGAAAATTCAGAACGTACGTACACACTGCAGAAGGATATCTGCGGAAGAAATATTTTTCTGCCCAGAGGAAGGAGATTCGAGCTCTCGTGATGAATTTGTCCACAATTGTTTTTAACACTGTGCCACAAGTAATGCACGACTGTATTCCTGGCCGAATTTATAGAACGACTGACAATCCTCTCTGCAAAGCATGCGGCCAAGTAAATACAGTTGGAAACGCCTACGGTCCGGTCTTTTCCCCACCGTTTCCACGTTGCAGCCAGTCAGCGAACGCTATGGCCCGCGTTAACTGTAATGGCGTCAAACAAAGCTCCCGACCCGCCGGAAACCGTCGTTCGTCGATGATAAAATCGCTGGAAAATCCCCACTAGTTTTCGCAAACCCGAGAACCGACGAACCAGACAGCATTTTTTTTCGCACCTGTCACCGTTTACCAGCATCCGGACGAGTTATGGAAATTTATCCAGAGGAAGCATCCTCTCCCTCTCTGACGCCTGTTTACGCCACGGTACGTCCCGGGCTCTTCGGCTCTTCTCCGCGAGAAAGTCGAGTCGGTTCGAAATTTCGAAGTCGCTCGGCTTTCACTGTTAATTGGAAAATAGCTTCAATTCGGTGTGAAATGATCGTTCCGCTCGCGAACCAACAGTCTCACAGTTTGACGAGCATGTAATCTTTTTCTTTTTTTTTTTTTTCAGCAAGATCGTGCAGTTAGCTTGCTTGCAAACGACTTCGCCCTTGTCTTCGATGATTCCCTAATCGTCGAGACTGATTTGAATTTGTAAATTGACGCACGACGGCGCAAGAATGTCATATATATGTATATATATATTTTTTTTTTTTTCGGAATACAATTGTCTGAATGCTTACCGTTTGAATCGAGTATAATATTGTGTATGATATGCTGAGCAAAATATCCTGAACGATGATGTCCTGTAAAAATGACGCTGATTTGAGAGTTCGATATTGATACTAGAACTACCGGCGACCAAAATAAAATGGCATAAAACGATTCCCATCAGAATAGAAGAAACAGAAAATCTTTATAATACACAAGCTTTTATTTTACAAATATGTTGTTACATATCTAACATTCAAATTCACTCAAACATTCAAATTCATTTTTTGATCGTTTTGACAGTTTCTGCGAGTTTCAATTCCCCCTCCCGAGTTTCGTGTGATGTTTTATCAATCATTTTGAAAGTTAAAGAAGAAAAAAAAAAAGAAAGGAACAGCGTAGGCGGCAATAGCAAATGAATAGTTGTCAAACGAATGATGGTTAGATGATCGACGCGGGAAAAATTAGGAGAAACAGACTCGCATGTCGGTGAACGACCGATCAAGGTCAGAGCGAATCACAACATGCAACGTCTTGGAGTTGAAATGTAAAACGTCTAGAAAAAAGTTTTCTCATCTCTTTGCGACGCAAATTTCTATTCTACGTGCAATTTTGAAGAACCTAGGTAATTTAGTCCTAGATAATTTAATTCTATCAAAATCAAGGTCAATTGCTGTTTAAACAGAAACGTAATTGTGTCAAAATTCCATTTGCTTTAATTGTTATCGTTTCAATTGTCACACACGTGGAATACTTCAATATTTAACGGAGACCGGATGTGTTAATATCAAATTCATTTTTACACTTACTAACGAAATGTTTATATTGAAAATATATAATTCGAAGTTGATGAATACTTTGGAATACAGACGAAACATTTCTCGAAAAGCGGCCCCCTTTCGCTTTTCTTCTACTGTATATAGAAAAAAAAGGTGATAAATTAAATAGAAAAATGAACATTTCTGTGGAGACGTTCTTTGAATACGAGAAGAACATTTTTTTTTTCCTTAAAAAAAAAAAAAAAAAAAAAAAAA